ATATGATGTATTTATTTTAACTTAAATGCCATCTTGTACAGTAGCAAATAAGTTTTACTTCATCGCATGTGAACCTTACGAACACTCTTTTTTTTAATAAAATTGTTACTTTTACGTTTTTTGGTACGATTAAGGAGCTGGTGCCTTAGTCGTACCACTTGTAGCCTTAGTCGTATTTTCCAATTTGCAAGAACTTGTCTTATAGTTCAAAACAAGTCATTTTCCTCCGGTTTCCTCTACAATCGCACGTGAAATCAATATAAATTTAACTCCAATGCATCATCATATCGCTCCTAAGTCGTAAATCTCAAGATCGTTCTCGAATGTCATTCAGTGTTCTTTACTATTTTATTTAAATTATACATTATAAATAAATCACATACCATATAATTACTATTCTGAAAGTAATTGTTTTTGTTGACACGCAAACAGTAGTAGTACGCCTAGATAAATAATAAAATGATCATGATGATGATAATAATGATATATGGCTTTTGCATTTTTATTAATAGGTATCGATAATTGATACAGAAGGAAAAAGATTGATTATTATTATTATTATTAGTGATGTTCTTCCTGAAAGCAAAGATCTATGGTCAGAGTACCAAGCGAGATTCATTTTTTTAACTTACACTCTCATTTTTGTATTATACAAGAATTTTTGCAACTATCCAGAAAAGGCAATAAGTAAATCTTTAAGAAAATTCAACATTAGTGATTTTGACATAAACAGAGATTAATGTCGATACAACTTTCTTTTTAATCTGGTCCTGGTAGTTTTATATCCAGTGACTTCGGGTGTTCCTCGAGGTAGCTTTTGTACTTGTCTGAAACAGTTTTCATCCATAACGCCAACCAAATTTCAAATAGATGACTCAAAATCTAAATGGTATTTACTAAGTAGCTACGAACGTTTATGGTATTTATTCATGTTTTATAGCCAGATCACTGGTCTTCCGCTGGCCTACTTTTTCAGTTTGATGGTTCTATGACGAGTGACTTTCAATGATCATCGAAATGGTTTTGTACTCCTCAAAATGTGTTTGTTGTTATAACACTATCCAAACTTCATACAGCTTCCTACTCCCAAAATTCATATAGCTTTCTACTCCCAAAATTCATGGTATTTATTAGCATCCTTTTTAGCCAGACCACTGGTTTTCCGTCGGCCTACTTTCCAAGTCTGGTAGTTTTATGTGGAGTGACTTTGGTTGATCCTGGAGGCGGCTTTTGGACTCGTCTGAATGAGTTTGTGTTTATAACGTCAACCTAATTTCGAATTGATGGGTCATTGTGACTCAATTGCTAGCATAATTTTTAGCCAGACCACTAGTCTTCCGTCGGCCTACTTGCCAAGTCTGGTAGTTTTATGATGAGTAACTTGGGTGATCCTCGAGTTGACTTTTGTACTTGTGTGAGTGAGTTTGTATTTATAACGCCAACCAAACTTCAAATAGATTGCGGTTCCAAAATTCATGGTATTTATTAGCATATTTTTTAGCCTGACCACTGGTCTTCCGTCGGCCTACTTATCATTAATTCTGGTAGTTCTATGACGAGTGACTTTGGGTGATCCTCGAGACGGCTTTTGTACTTGTCTGAATGAGTTTGCATTTTATTGTTTACTGTGCTGGTATTAATGTCTTTGTTGATTAACCTATTGGGTCAACCAAATTTGTTTGAATAACCTATTTTGGCATTTTTGAATTAAAAAAAAAATTGGTTTGAAAGCTGAGTTACATACTTATATGCTGTGTGTCTAAATTGATGTAAAAACATTTTTTTAAATTGGTTCAGGATTTTTGGAAACAAATTGGCGAAAAATTTAATCCATAACCATATCCAATTTTTTTGAAATATTGTCCAAAAATCTTATTTCTTTGAATTTTGATAAATATAAGAGTGAGAAAAAAACAATAAAATTTAGTCTAAACATGTTTTAATAATTATAAGACTCGATTGTTATTAACATAGTTTTCTTCCACAAATTGAAATTAAAACTAAATTAAAGATTAAATTAGTCGTATTTTTCTGCAAATTATTTAATTTAAATTAAATTTAGTGAATTTTTTCATTAAATTAACAAACATTGATTGAATAATGTTAATAAACTGACTTGTAAAATAATAAAATTAAAAAATTGAAAGTTGGTTGAGAATTCTACCTTCTTTTGTTAAAATTCCGTTCTAAAAACTTTTTAAATTCAGTATTTATTAAAACTAATACTAATTTTACTTATATCATATTTTTTTTATTTTTTTGTAAAAATGTCTAATTTTTTTTGGTAACTTTGCTAAGTATTTAAAACAATTTTAATTCATTTAAAAAATGTAATTCAGATTTGTTTATTTTACTTGTAATTACATTTGAAAATTATTGTAATAATTGTAAGATTGTATAAAAAATTAATAAAATCAATAAAATCATAACAAAGATTTATAAACCTTTTAAACTAGTATTAGCTGATGCCATTTTTAAAGTTATTAACTCTTTAGTTAATTAATTATAAAACACTTTTTTAACCATGCAAACTTTGAAAACACATTTTAAAAATATTTATTTTATTCACAAATATTTTTTTTAAATTTGTAATAATAACCAGCTAAATTAATTAGCAACATTTTTGCAAAATTATTTAAGATAGGATATATATAAAATATAGTATTTTTGGTAAATATTATCATATTTAAAATGTTAAAAGTAAAATTGTTGTTCACAATAAATTATGAATTATTTTATATATCTTTCAAATTTTCTGAAAAATTTCTCACATATTTAAAAGTAGATTGGAGTATATGTAAGGATGCATATGCGAGTCTGAATTTGATTTTTTTTCTAAAACGTCTAAACCGATTTTTAAAATTCAGAAGCTATTTGTGAGATTTTTTATAATCAGCAAAAAAAGGAAAATTATTTTGTCCATAATTTATCCAAAAATCTTGAACTAATTTTGATAATCCAAAAA